GCTGTAAAAGTGCTAGACATGCAGGACTAACTGCTAGAGAAGGTTGTCAACTGCATCAAAAATCCTCAAGCCCAAGAAAATAATTCTTAAATATTTATATAAATTTGCTTTAAGCAATAATGTGAATGGCCAGATCACCATAACTTTGATATTACACTTTGCTACCGATACTATAAGTTGATTTGGGAAGTCTTGAAAAAAAAAACTTACAAAAAAAGGTGGATAAATTAAAATAAAGGTGTTGAGCAAACTTGAATACCCTTTTACCTAAGGATCTTTGTGGCAAGTTTGGTTAAATTTAGTCCAGAGGTTCTAGAGAAGAAGTTGAAAATGTGAAATGTTTACGGACAGACAGACCAACAGACAGATGCCAGACTAAATGAGATCAGAGAAAAGCCCACTGGAGCTTAAAAAATAAAATCATACTATACTCCAACTCTGACAGACTAAAAGTTGTCTTGTTCATAACATTATTCATAGATTACCTGTACATCTCTTCAACAGTGACCCTTGTCCAGGTACCCATGCTGTTTGCATATGACAGCTTTTGACCCTTAGATAGCAGGTCCTCTGCATGGTGATTGGTGGCAATACAAATCTGTAGCACTATCTCCTGGGTCAGGAACAGTAGGAAAAAGTCAATTGGCTTTTGAAAGGCCTGAACTGCCTGTCTAAAAATTACATATTTATTGTAAAAAAAAAATTTGAATGCAAAAATGTGTGTTTCAATCAAACATATTTTTACGAGCTTTCAGTCAAACATGATTTTCACAAGCTTTCAATCAAACATATTTTTTACAAGCTAAAGAGTCACCCGCATGTTGCGCAGTGGTTAGAGTGTCTGCTCTAGAGTCGCAGAGTAAGGAGTTCATTCTTACGTAGCAGGTTCAAATCCTAATGTGGGACATGAAGTCCGGATCTTCATATCTAATGAGACTGTATAAAGTTAAACGCAGGTCCTGTGTCGCAGTAGGTGCAGGCATGAAAAACATCCCTCACTGCTCAATGGCCTTGAGTGCCAAGTATAGGATAAAATTTGCAGCTCTCCAACGGCAAGTGGTGATGTCTTCTTATGAGTGAAAAATTCTTGAGAGGGACGTTAAACAAATGACAAACAAGAAATCAATCAACACAAGCTAAAGATGAACAGATAGTTGTATTGCAGAAATATTTATTTAATTATTCATATGACTGGTAATAGATGTTTGCAATTTTCATACTAACTGGCAAACTTAACCTCCCTTTGCCGTTTGCTTTTCATACAAGTATGAAGTATTTTAAAATGCATTTAAATCAGTACCTGGTCAAGAGGCCATGCTGAATGCCAGAAGGAAGACGCGGTTTGAACATAGACAATCTGGGGTCCCTAACTTCATCATCACTGTCATTCTGGTCTCTCCATTTTATACATCCTGCCACTGGATCCTGACTAGCAGAGCTATCCGTACTCTGGGACAGAGTCTGGGAACTGCTCGGAGACTGGGATTGACTGAAATACAGTTCAAAAGTATTTCTTGTCAAGAAACTAAGAGTATGTTTTTGAGCGTGTACTGATATAAAATTAATATATGTACAATGTATTGTTTTGTGCAGTAATGCTGTACAGATAGTTTTAAAGAATTCTAGTAAAGGGAGTAAAAAGTTTCATAATACATGCATACATGTAAAATGTATGCTCTTTATAGGCCCTATATTGACAATTAAAATATTTAAGGAACTCTGGTTGGAGAAAAACCAGGAACTACATTCTCCCACTGCAAGTTATGATTTTAACATGCATTTAAAAATAAGATTTGGAGCAACTATGAATAAAAGTATATAATGGGTTCCAGTAAATGTTCTATCAAACACTGGCCTTTTTTCCTCCCCACTGAAACATATAATGATTTACAGCATTGAAACAAGGACCTATATACTAGTATATATGTCCATGAATGAAGGAAAAGTATGATATGTCAAATGGAGAAATGTTTAAATTGCTCAATTTCGTACGTAGGCCTACTGTACAGTAGTTAACAAAAAATATGAAAGTTATGTACATTGATTATGTTCCATGAATAACATATTATTTTTACGAACCATGAAGTGTAACGGGCACCTGTTGCTCATGTGCTGTATACAGTATCAGCTGAGTATCATGAGAAAATGATGTCGAGATTAGGCCTACCCCTCACATTTTTTTTTATTTACAAGTAGGATCAAAATAATTCCGAAGAAGAAAGAAATGTAAGGCCCTAATAATAATCTCTGATTTAATTATTTTTACATTAGGTCTCAGTAAAAAAAAATTTCTTGATTTTTTCTCCAGCATATTGTTAATCGCTGCTATAAACTTACCCGAATTGAGGGGGGTTTGATGGATCAAATTGTTCATCGTTTTCGTCTCTTTCTTCAACAAGTTCCCCACTCAACAATAAATCTAAATAATCTTCTTCATCTTCTGAAAGTAACTCGTCAAACTCAAAATCCATGTTCACCACCGATTGTTTACATTCTCAACAATTGTGCCGGAAGCGCTTATTGCGCCCTCTTTTTTTCTTCTCCGCAAACCGCGCGAAAATTCAAATGTAATTGGCTTTTCAATGTGGATTATGTATCGGATTTATTCAACTGACACCTTTCAAAAATATACCAAATGAAAGGTACATTCTTCTACATTTCAAAACTTAATTTACATTTTCCTATTCCGATTTTACTTTTTGTCGATACGTGTTTATAGTCGATTGTTTATGTTTTACGCCAGTGCCAGTTTGACTACTGCATTAAACCCGAGAATTTTTCAATTCTTTCATTACATATCTGTGAAAAAATTATATCAATAGTTTCTTCAAAGTGTCAGCATTTTTAGGTAATACGTTTTGTGTCGAAACATTACTTCTATTTTTTGCAACAACGAGGAAAGTTGTAGAAAACGCACACTAATAAAAATCATGATTTCGGAGTTTTTCTCTCCCAATTATGTTAGAATTAACCGATAATTAAGACATGAAATATTTAAATTTCATAATTGATTTGCATATAATTAAATACTACGGAGTCTCACGATTAAAATGGTACCTGATTTTTTAAAATCTGTTAATTCTAAGCGAAACTATTAATTTTTTTCAGCAATATGTCAGAAAAAATAAGGCTTATCGGTCAGTATTGACCGATACGAACGTGAAAGGGTTAAGGTATCTGTAATGTAAAATGGTTACATGTACATAAGTCAGAGCTTAACGTAAATGCACATGTGCAGTTGTAGCAGATTCATATTCTCATGACACAGTTTACATGTATTAATGCAGATCGCCATTATTTTAATAATTATTTAGATTTCTATTCAGAAAATTTAATTTTCTTGAACTGTTTCGTTCTTGATAGATCTATCATGTTAAATTTATTAATTTTGTTAAAGCCGTTTTCTTTAAACCTTTCTTCCAGTCTTCTACTTGTATTATTTTCTAAGATATTAATATTTAATTGCGATTTTTGGATACATCGCAGATTGTAAGCTTTAGACATTAAATACAAATTTTTAATTTATTGCGCAAATTTTTTCCCTGAAATAACTTGGTACTTGTAGATAAATTTATTTGATAGAAAAATTAAAATGTATATTTTTCATGAATAATAAATCTGTTTATAGAGTTTTTAAATTCACACAATTGAGAAGAAATAAAAAAAAAAATACAGTCTCCATTTCATAAACATCCATTTTATCACTGTCAATTTTTTATATATATAATTAAACAACTTTTGTAAAATTAATACAGAGATCTCAGGTTCTTTTTATAATAATTAAATGCACTTTATAGTTTAGATTTGAAGCTCTGCGAGTATTTAAATTAAAATATAATTTAATTTAGATAATCTTTAATCTTTAGATTTAATTCAAAATAATCTTTTCGTCTTGTCAAAAAACGTTCCGCATTTTGAAACAATCTTATCAGGTTTTGCGTTTATCCTATCGTGTAGATCGTTTATCAGGTCTATCGTGTTTTGCGTTTATCGTGTTTTGCGTGTATCGTGTTTTGCGTTTATCGTGTTTTGCGTTTATCCTATCGTGCGTGTATCCTGTCCTATCGTGCGTGTATCCTATCGTATCGTGCGTGTATCCTATCGTATCGTGCGTGTATCCTATCGTATCGTGTATCCTGTAAAGAATAACGATGCGGGTACTGTACATTGAAGGAAGATCCATTCCCCAACCTATTTGGATATTACGAAGTACATAGTTCCTTATAACCATGTCCATATTTAGTCCATGAACATTGCAAACAATTACTCATCATACCTATCGTATACAAGTTAAGATTCTATATTCAAATCAGTTTTCATCAGCAGCTCAATTTCCATCCCTGAACAACATAAACACATTCCAAATTAAACTATACAACTTCCTCTCTTTCACAACATTCCATATTATACTTATCTAAATTCACATAGTTACATTTATGTAATACAACTTTAACACAATACAACACTTCACTTTCATTTACAATGCTTTTTCGGGACTCAAACACTTTCAATGACATGTCAAACAATCCACTGTCTAATGTCAATACAATTAACTCTTTTCAGTCTCATTCATTGCTACATCTTTGGAACAATAATTCTTACACTTTAAAGACGACACATTTCTACCAAATTTCTATTCCTTCTTAATCAAATATTTCTTTCCATATAACAAATTTCACTCTTCCTTTAACATTTCCAAAAAGTTGTCTCTTTTATCATCTAATGTTAAATTTATTTTCTACTCATTGCAGTCACATTTATAGTGTTTAAAAAGGAAAAAAACAAAACCTCTGTCCTCACACCAAAGCAATGAACCGAAAAATAAAGACATCACAAAGAATGTCTTGCGTCTGACAAAAAAAACTGAATGAAGTACTTCATAAAAAATTTTGAAGTAATACATTCCACAACAGTGCACTTCATTTTTCATTAGGCAGAGAGAGAGAGAGAGAGAGAGAGAGAGAGAGAGATAAAGAGACATTCCCATCCATTCAGGTTCACACATTAAAGCCTCAGAATTTTTTTCCTAACAGCATCAGGAGTTCGACTGGGAATTCCCCTACAGGAACACAAAGACAGATACTGCTTATACAGTTCTGGATTGGACGTGTCCTCACTGCAGTTGTCTCTTACTTGATGCAGGATTTCCAGCTCAGCACCACTCCACTTCATCTTCAGATTGGCAGGGTAGTGGGCAACAGTGTGTAAAGCAGTGCTCTCCTCGATGACACTTTCTTCCTCTGTAGGGATCGTACGCAGAACTGCTGCTTCAAAAAACTCTGGTTCCTCTGCTGTTCCCTGCGTCTCTTCAGGTTTAGGGACTTCCTTGTCTGTCCTCTTCCTTGGCGGTGCTGTTGGGAGCCGCACTGCAATGGACTTATGGATCCTCCAGATCTTCTTTTGGCCAATAACACACTGGTACTTGGTGGATAAAATGGCAATGTGTTTCAAGCGGTGCTGTGGAACTGGCAAGGAGGACTCCAGTTTCTCTAATTCCTTGTAGGAAATATACCAGCCTTGCTGAAGGAGGGCCACACAGGAGCAAAACAATAACGTCTTACTGGTATCAGTGGTGCTCAACTACAGGTTCTTCAACTTCATTAGAAGATGCTTCCACATAAGTTTCAACTTTCCTGGCTCAGTGGTTATGGAGAAGAAGATATTAAAACATTTGTTCTACATATTTCTTTGTAAAACTTATATTCCCTATTGTGGCCACGCCCTTCCCCCGGGGGGTCATGATTTCATCAATTTAATATCAACAATACCTAAGGATGCTTCCACATAAGTTTCAGCTTTCCTGGCACAGTAGTTCTTGAGAAGAAGATTTTCCAAGATTTCTTCTATACATTTTCATGTAAAAATGGGATTCCTTATTGTGGCCAGACCCTACCCCCAGGGGTCATGCTTTTAACAATTTCATATCTAACCTACCCAAGGATGCTTACACATAAGTTTCAGCTTTCCTGACCCAGTGGTTCTTGAGAAGATTTTTTAATGAACCAACCCGATTATTTTTATTTTTCGGTTCATTGCTTTGGTGTGAGGACAGAGGTTTTGTTTTTTTTCCTTTTTAAACACTATAAATGTGACTGCAATGAGTAGAGAATAAATTTAACATTAGATGATAAAAGAGACAAATTTTTGGAAATGTTAAAGGAAGAGTGAAATTTGTTATATGGAAAGAAATATTTGATTAAGAAGGAATAGAAAGAATGAATCGTTTAAACGTCCACATTTGGCCCCCTGATAATTTACAAAAAATAAGTTTAATGATTTTCTACATATTTTTGTCTCAATCTTTTCATCAAACATTGTACTTTATTAATTTCATTTTCGATTTTCACTTACGTAATTGGGTATTTATCTGATAAATATAGCAGGGGTACGTTGTTTACATTGATTTCCCATAGACTTTAGGCCACACCCCCATTTTGAAAGCCCAATTTTTATATGAGCGCATAGATGTTTCAAGTTGTAGTAAATAGGGTCAATGTAAAGAGTTAAACTTGTCATTTTAATCCATGAAAGAAATTGAAACAGTCGTGCGCTCACGTTATTTTCCAAAAAGGTGCAAAATCACGGGTACCTGTCCCTATAGTAAAGGCACCTTGTTTACAAATTTCAACCCGCCTTTGACCTCATGAATAACAAAGCAGTAAACACGTGACTCAAATCTATTCACTTTCATGCTTTGAGCAGATCAATGCGACATCGTGTCCAGTGTTGCGAGCTATCGATGGTCAAATCCTTTTGAAATGGGTAATTAGAATTTAAAGAACCCTGGGATAAAATTTTTTTAAAACGGTATATTTAAAACATGTTAACATTTTTGATTTACTTGTTATTTCAGTCAATTTGTTTGATTTTTTTTCGGCATTTATCAATATATTTTGGAGGCTTGTAGCACAAAGCTAGCACTTACTGCTTATATCTCAATAATACAAAATTTGAAAAAAAAAATACTGAGGGTTAAATATTATCAATTTGCCTTTCTTCCTATGTACACATGTACCTGTACATCACATCAGCGTTACGTTCATCGACTCTTGGAAGATATATATAAAAAAATACGATCGCTATTTGAAAAAATACCAATTTATCATATCTTTAGAAAATAAACCGTTTGTTACAAATGCGTAATTCCAATTAAAAAAACATTGGAAGTGTGAGGCATTAAAGAGATTTATATATCGAATGAATCACACTGCACAATATGCACCCCTACATGTAATTAAATAGAGGGAAACTCAGAGTTTTATCTGGCGACACTACAAATGTTATAAATCTTAACATCGGCACAAAATCTAACAACAATTCAAGGTTTAAATATAAATATTAGTACATGCGCGGATCTAGAGGGGGGTCGGAGAGGGGGGGGGGGTCAGGACCCCCCCCCCCTGGAATTTACACGGTTAAAAAAATGTATTTACTAAAGCAAGAAAAAAAGTAACCTTGGACCCCCCCCCCCCCTGGAAAACGCCGAACCCCCATGGTGAA